CCAGAGGTACAGGGGGGGTTAGAGGATTCACCAGAGGCAGAGTGGAGAGCAGAACATGTGAATTTACTGAAATACATTGGTAAGGTGAGCAGCAGGTAAGACAGAAGAGGTCTGCTGTGCCATGTGGGTAGCTCCCTGACCAGGATCAAACTCAAGCCCTCGCGATGATAATGCTGAGGCTTAACCACTACCTGAAAGCTGTAGCTTAAAGGTGGGAATGAATGTGTACACTATTGTAATATTTGTATATTGCTGTGAGCTGATTTAATCTCAAAATGGTAGGGTGTATGTTAAAGTTGCATACTGTCAACTATAAAGTCACCAATAGAACAAAATGATATATAACTAAAAGCAAATAAAAGGAATAAACAGAAGTTAAAAAAATTAATCCAAAATATGATAAAAGATAAAAAACAAACACAGAAAAGAAGAAAATAAAATAAACATGGGGATTTTAAAAGACAAATTAAGGAAATTAGAAACATCGTTTTGTCATAGCAATAGCTGTTCCTAAACTCATAATACATAGTTCAATGAAATCTAGTTTCTATGATATATTTAATTGCTCAGTCATATACAGTAAAACACATTTTGTCTACAACCTCCATGTTTCCTGCGCATTTGTGATAAATTAAACAGCCTGCATATTTTGGAATGGAACAAGTCAAATTGCCCTTATAGATAATGAAAACAGTATGGAAGTGTATTAAAAATATATTTCATAATGCAATTACTAATAAAAACTAATGATACTTTAAAACTTAAAGCCACTTAAGAATTACATACTTCGCAAAGATGAGGCAGTTATTTTTTTCGATTCTTAAGTAGCACGATTACATAATAAAATAAACAATATACAAGAGCTGAAAACAGCTGGTTAAGTCAATACAAACTTTTAAGTAAACCAAACCAAAACAAAACAAAACAAGAGCAGAGTCTGATATAGACACATTCGGAGAGAGTCCTATAGATGCTCTAATTAGATTATTTTCACTGTAGGGAGGTTAAAACCAGTAAAATGAGGATCTGAAATTTGGCATTGCTTTTTTCAGGCATGCTGTTCAGTATAAGGACATGATTTTATTCATAGTGGGAGGCAATTTATTTATGCAGTGTGTAATCAGCATGCCTTCTTGAGTAGTGGTAGTTAATACTCTGAAGGAATCAAATATAATTAGAATTACACAATTGACTTAATCTGGGTTAGGGGCATCCTAAGTTGGGCTCTTCAGATATATCACATATGTAAGAAAATAAAATGCAATCTCAAAAAAATTTAAAAATTAAAAGAAAGTGAAACCTTGGCTGTTGTGTTGAATTCTTTTTCTCCTGGTTTGATTAAAATTATTTAATTTGGCACTTAAGTTTTAGAGTTCAACATTTATTTTTTTTTCAATTCATTGTGTTTGGGTGATTGCAAAGGTCAACAAGACTCAGTTTCTATGCTAAAATTAGTGATTTTAATTAAATGGTCCTGCACTGAAAAAAGAGAAAGCAATTACAAAAATAGAAAAATTACTTGTTCCGTATCACAAAAATATTGGTGCAAGAACGAACCCTAGAAGAGAAATTTCATTCTGACTAACACTGAACAAATGTATAGATAAAATATGAACAGCGTAATGTAAAAGCCAACAGCTCAGTTAATTAGCATAATGTTTCTCAGTCATATTTACCCATTAATTTGGTCATGACTAGAAACAGATGATTCTGCTTCATCAGCTGTAATATATCAGGTTTTGAACTTTGCCAACAGAGCATCAGATCAGAAAGGAAGGGAGAAATGGGCTTCAATTAAATTCAGAAGGCATGAAAACTAAGCTAAGTAACTAAAAGATAAGTTCATTTAATAAGCAAATGGCAAATGTTTATATGTGTTAGCCACCAAGCTAAGCAAAAGCCAAATGTGGTCTTCTCCCTCAAGCAACATGTAATTTTAGGGAGTAAAAGAGATAGACTATAGGTTACCATCCCAGAGAATCAAGAGTCTCCAAGGTGGTCATTTTTAGGACTGTGAAGACTTTTCTCTCCTTTCTACATCTAAGCCCATGTTTGAGTTTGGTGCATTTACTACCAGATACATAGCCTCCAGGTATGGTAAAAAGTTATCTTAAGGGCCTCCCCGGTGGCGCAGCTGTTGAGCGCTGGGTTGCGAAGCTGCCCGCAGCCTCTGCAGCGCCGGTTCGATCCCCGGCTGCTCCCCGGCCACCAGAGGAGGGTCCCACATGGCGCGCAGACCTCTCCTGCCGCCCGCTGCTCCCCTCAGCAGTGTACTTCGGTCCTTCTGCCTGTTCTGCTCCCCACTCTGGCTCTAGTGAATTCTCTCACCCTCCCACGCTTCTGAATGTACCCAGTGCTTGTATAAATAAATAAATAAATCTTTAAAAAAAAAAAAGTTATCTTAAAATTTACTCAAATTGGGGCCTCCTTGGTCGTGCAAGGGGTTAAGCACCACACTATGAAGCAGTCCACAGCCTCTGCAGCGCAAGTTCGATCCCAGGCAGCAACCCACATGGCGCAGCAGACCTCTCCTGACTCGCCAGCTGCTACCCTCAGGAGTGTATTTCAGTCAGTCTGCCTGTTCTGTTCCCCACTCTGTCTCTGGTGGATCCTCTCACCCCCTGCATCTCTTGTATGCATACAAAAATCTCTTGTAAACATACATAAATAAGTCTTTAAAAAAAAAAAAAAACTTCCTTTAATTGTCCCCAGTAAATTTTAAGGGACAATTACCCTGGAGCCTTGTTAGACTTGATCCCTAGACCCCAGACTGTTACATTGTCTGTTATATCTGATTTGCCCAGTACCTATGGTTAGCTTTCATTTCATAGGTAATGAACTTAATGCTCCATCACCAAATGCTGCAACAAAATCTAATAATTTGACATTTGATACTCAATAGTTTCTAACAAAGCTAGATTTGGTATATAATTATTTGCCATGTTTGTATTTTCATAAATATATGACATTTTTTATTAATGTAATACAACTCAGATATTTCTGGAAAAAATAAATATGTTAGAAGTAACATTAACTCAAAGAGAAGCGGGAAGCCCCAGTAAAGGAAGACCTAGCATCTTATCAGCAGGACCTTACCTTTCCCTTGTGATACAAACATCACAGGAGCAGACCACTGTGTTTTATGGCAACTGATTGGATCAGTTTCTTTGGAGAAGTTAACAATATCATCTCTTTCAAGCTATAAACTCTTTAAAGCCAAAGATTTCCTCCAAAGTCACTATGAATTGCAAACCTTCACCATACATTATAATCATCATTGACCAAGTTATTAATTGTTCTGATGTATTTAAAAATTATTTTGTGATCCTGTTATAATATCTAATTTAATCACTGATTTATTCACTAATTAAGTAAACATTTTTGAGTGTCTCTTATATAAGACCCAGGAATTATTCTAAGTACTAAAGATTCAATAGCATATAAGATAGAAAAAAAAAATCCCTGCCTTCATAGGAGTTAAATTCTACTACATGGAAAACATGAATTAACATACTTAAAAATGAAAATGCAGTATGTTAAATGAGCAAAAATAATAAAGAAAAATAAAGCAGCGAAGGGAGTATTATGGTTTTGGGAGAAAAAGTGGAGGCTGCAATTTTAAAACAGCTAAAGAAGCTGATGTGGAAAATGGCATGTGATAAATACCTAAAGCAGATGAGGGAGCAAACCATATGGAAATAAGAAGGAAAGAGCTTTCTATCAGCAGAAACAGCAAGTGCAAAGGCCCTGAAGCAGGGTAAGGCCTAGCTATCATTCCAAGTAGTGGGGAAGAGCTGGTGTGTGACCTGGGGGAAGCAGAGAGTAATAAGGAACCCAAACTTGCAGGGCCCTGTAGGACTTGGATCTTTGAAAATGGAAGCCACTAGAAAATGCTGACATGGCACGACTTACATAGGGATGCAGCAGGAGAGTGATCACTTAGATATGCAACATAGGATCAGAAATGTAAGTTAATAAAATGAACAGATTATCAGGAAGCCTGCTTCTGAGAGAGGGCACAATTAGGAGCTATAGAATGGAAGACATGGTAATGAGTCTTGGAAAAGAGTCCATAGAAAGGAAAGGTTTAAACACTAGAGATCAGTGAACAGAAGTCCAATGAGAGATTCTTGAGGCAAGGAAGGAAATGAAGAAGCAGGCATAGAATGTATGAGAATTTTATGGAAAGTAATTTACTGGCCATTCCCTACAGGTATGGAGGGAAAAATGCAGCTGATCCTAAGAAAGCAGGTTTGGCAGCTGGCCCTCTCTCGAAACTGGAGTAAGTTCTGGAAATTTTATAAAATCAAATAATAACCCAAATTCTGTCTACTAATTACTGGGTATTTCTAGAGAGAAACAAAACAGTGGTGGTCATTGGGCGCTACATGCAGACACAACAAGCAACAACCCAGGTCAGAGCAGCATAAGAGAGTCCGTGCATGCTTTCTTGATGGAAGGATCAGTAACAAGAACTGCATATTTATATCATTTTAACATTTTGAAAATCATTTAGTGTCTGATAGCATCTGATTAAAGATCTTTCCTTGTTGGAATCACCATACTAGGAACTACCTCCTTCCCTCCCTGGCTAGGTCAGGTGTTGAGGCCCCAGGGGAAGTCCTCTGAGCGAGGCCTCTTGGTAAGCAAGTGGTAAAAGTTGTAAGTGAAGAGGAGAAGGGAAAAGGGGGGCTGCTAGAGGTTAAGGGGGGGAAAGCAGATTTGCAGCCCAACAACTGAGGCAGGAAGCCCAGGTGCTCTGGAAGGAATTTGGGTCTAGGTAAGACAGGACCAGCAAGCATGGGGGAGACCAGGAGCAGGACTCTCCAGGTCTGGGCCCCAGGGAAAGGTCTGGGCCCCAGGGAAAGGTCTGGGCCCCAGGGAAAGAGAGGAGTTGCCAGATCAGGGAATCCCCTGCCCTCCAGAGTTTGCTACAGGGCAGCAGTCACGTGGCCAAACAAGGCCAAAGGGATAGGTAAGGACGAAATAAGGTTCCTTACTCTTTAGCTTTTTCCGGGCCATGAGCGGAGTTGATGCGGTGCACCTCTTTCCTTTTAGTTTGTTTGGTAGTCATGGCAAAGACCACCCAGGCGGAGCTCTGCTCCGAGCCGAGAACCCGCTCCGAGACCCCGGAGCCGCGTCTGCTGTTGCCAGGCAACGGCCGCCTCGCGCCCCAGGTGTCCGTGTCCTGGAGCCTCCGCCCGGGCCGCAGAGCTGCGCTGGGGACGCGAGCACCCCGAGGGCGGTCTGTGCATCCAGGGGGTGGATGCGGTCTGTGCAAGGCGGGTGGTGTCTGAAACCAGGGTGCCCACGTGCATGGATTTTCCAGTAGGAGTCAGGGGCAGGGCCGATAAACTGGAGTTCTTTGGTCAGAAGTTGCCCTTCCAAACCACAACAGAGCCGCGCTCTTTGGGATTTTCAGCTTTTTAAAGATGGCTATTCTGCTAGGTCCTCTCTCTCCACCTCTCTGCTCAACTAGTTCCTCCAATAATAAGGAGACATTGCGGATGCACTGATTTTCCTAAGGACTAGAACACAGTGGCGCCAGGAATCCTGCAGGGAAGGCCGAGACAGTGACTCCAAGAATAGGAGTAATTAAGCACATCTGATATCTTGGTTCTTGGAAACACTTGGAAAGGTACCAGTGACAGGATCCAAGCACAAATCCTATTAAGACTGGAGCTTAATTCTCGGCTTATCCTTGCTTTTCAGTTGTCTTGTGTTGGTTCCTCCTTACTCCTTTGTAAACAGGAGATGGCTAATACCTGACTCACAGTCTGTTTTGAGGATAAACAAGATGTACTTAAAATGTTTAGCACTCCACAGAAACACAGCAAATCAGGGTCCCCGTTTTTGGAGATGAAAATCAAATGGCTTCAAGGAGCAGGCAGATAACATGTGAGCGAAACTGAGAAATGCTTACCCTGGACAATCTTGAATATTCATTAAAATGAAACAAACACTATGTTGGACCAGGCTCTGCACACTTCAGCCAGACTTGGCCACTCACAGGGCTGAAATTTAAGACCACTATCATTCTTCTGCTTTTCCCACAAGTCTAGAAATTAATATTCTTTAAATAAGAAGTCCCATTTGCTGTTAGGGCAGCAAAGGGCACTAAACCTGGCCAAGGACAGTGCCCAGATAGTTTACCAGTCACCGAGTTCTTCACCTGTGCGCACAAATGCACGACTACTCAGGTTCAGCTAACAATAATGGGATTTATTTAACAAACAAGGGAAAACAAAGAATCACTGAGACCACAAACGGCTGTTTACCTTACCCAAAGCAGTGTCCAGTGATTTTTTTTCTTTTAAGATTTATTTATTTATACAAGAACTGGGGTACAGTCAGAGGCGCTGGAGAGTGAGAAGATTCACCAGAGACAGAGCGGGGAGCAGAACAGGCAGACAGACCGAAGACACTGCTGAGGGGAGCAGCGGTAGAGGCAGGAGAGGTCTGCCCTGCCAAGTGGGTTTCTCCCTGGCCGGCCAGGAATCAAACCTGCTGCTGCGGTCAGCTTCACAGCACTGCACTCAAGCTGCTGGGCCACTGGGGAGGCCCCTGTGTCCAGTGTTTTAAAGTCCTAAACACAGTCCTGGTGGCGCAAGGGATTAAGCACAGCACTATGAAGCATTCCGCAGCCTCTGCAGTACGAGTTCGATTCCCTGCCAGAGAGCTTCCCACATGGCGCAGCAGACCTCTCCTGTCTCGCCCACTGCTCCCCTCAGCAGTGTATTTCATCAGTCTGCCTGTTCTGCTCCCCACTCTGTCTCTGGTGAATCCTCTCACCACCCCCAACCCCGCATCTCTGGCCTGCACCCCTGCTCTTGTATGCATAAATAAATAAATCTTTAAAAAAAATATAATAAAGTCCTAAACACAAAGGCTTCCAAGAAGGATTTGATAGTTACAAATGACCAGTCTCTTAGATAGGCATTAACAAGTTTGTCTTTTCCCCATTTCTTGCAATTTCCCCTTATTTAGCATTAACAAGATTAACAGTTTGTCTTTTCCCCATTTGTTGCAGTTTCCCCCTTGTTTGATAGGTTTATCTTTATTGAAGAAAAACAAGCTGGCAACCACCCGTCTCCATGCCAACCCCTCCCTCTCCCCTTAGCAGACCCTAGCCTAGTTCCACCTTTTTTCCTTTTGTGTAAATATCCCTGCTCTCCGCCAAAGAGCAGGACAGCTGTCTTTCAGACCTGAGTCTGCTGCCCTCGTCATTTGCCAACCAATAAAACCACTTTGCTTTCCCTCAAACTCTGCTTCCTTTTATTGGCTGCGGGAAATTGAGGCCAGCCTTGGGTATCAGATTCTTCCTACCACTGAGGCTGTGGAGCTCCTACCCCGAGCAAAAGGCCAGGCTCATGGATGGCGTCTTCCTGCCACTGCGGGCCGGAGCACATTGCAGCCAGACAATAGGCCAGGACTCAACTCACCAAGACAACAGCAGACACAACAGGCGATGCTCCCCAGAGCTGCCAAGTTGAGCCAGCACAGCACCAGACAAGAGGACAAGAGACACTGGAAACAACAGTGGCAGCGGCTGAATGACCCAACAAAGGGTCACACTCACACAGCTCAGAAATGCCCAGGGCTCCGGATCTCTGCCTTTTTCCTTCAGGTTCTAACAGCAGCACAGCTGGGAAGTTTTAGTCGCTGGGCTACCTACAAAGCCTCTGAACTTTTCTCCTCTGAGGTTGGCTGCTAGAAGCCTCTCCACTTCTTTCAGACCCCACAACAGCCTTCTGGAAGATCAGCTGGGTGGGGCAGGGATGGCGGACCCCAGAGTCACTGAAGATCCTGAAATCTGGAATGCTCAGTCCCAAACACTGAATCCTGGGAGCCTGCTTCTGCAGACCTGAGTCTCCACCCACTGCTGATATATTGTTCGCATTTCACCTGGGGCTATTCACCCTTGCCAGCACCCCCTCCAGGGGCCCCACCCCTAACAGTCTTTGGCGTTAGTCTGGGGTTACATTAGGACTGGGCTTTCCTCAGTGACCCAACTGAACAGTAATGAAGCAGCTTCCTTGCGAAACAAACTTTTCAACTGCCCTAATGCCAAGCCCTCTGCACCCAGGAGAGCCTTTGCTTGTCAGAACCTTGGTCTTGTTATTATTGAGAGTCACATAGATGACAGTCAGCCAGCAGCTTCATTGCATTTCCGTATGCAAGAAAAACAACTTCAGGGGCCTGCTGAAGTTAAGTCTCAACGCTAGAGGTTAAGTCTCAGCACTATCACAACTTAGATGTGAATTCAATCCCCAGCCAGGTTGCTGACCCACATGACGCAGCAGACCTCTGCTGTCTCGCCCACTGCTCCCCTCAGTAGTGTATTTTAGTAGATCTGCTTGCTCTGCTCCCCACTCTGTCTCTGGTGAATCCTCTCATCCCCTGCACCTCTGGCTGTAGGGTAAATGGTTTTCAGGCTTTTCTGCCCTCCCACCATTAGGATTGCCCTGCCTGATGGGGCACCTGCATTTTGTTACATCATTAGAAGTTATGTTGTTTACTTCTGTGGGCCATGGCAGCAGTATTGAGATACTTGCCAAGAGAAGCAGAGGCAAGACCAGAGACAGAAGAGAGAGGGGGGAGAAAGAAGGACAGAGAAGCCCATAGTGAAGATTTGCTGGGGGTTTGGAGGCCTTGTGGCCTCCTGTCCCCTGGGCACCCCCCCCTGCCTGCTGTGTACCTGGTTGCTGCACCACATGTAACGCTTAATAAAAGCCTGGGAAAGCCACCGGGGGCTCCAAGACTCCTCCTTTACCCCATCTGCTGGATCATAGAAAACCTGCTCTGTGCCCATCCTGGCACTACACTGGCCTATGCCCCAGTTTATCTATGCATAAATAAATAAATAAATCTAAAAAAAAGACAAGAACAACTTCAAACTCACTAGTGTCAATATACAACAGAAGTTCCCTGCAAACATCTCCCAAAAACATCTTGAGGACTCTACCTCATTTATCTCTTGCTTGAAATTCCCAAAGAGCTATCCTGAATGAAAGCAGAGAACCAAACTTTGATAAAATAGTACTTAATAGTGAATCTTACCAGAGTTATTAAATGCACAGCATAAGCATCTACAAAAACTAGTAGGTGAAAATAGGGCTATTTTAAGCAGCCAGACTATGGACAGGAGAGTTTTCTGAAGCTGGAGCTATTCCTGAGCCATTGTTAATGGTTGTGAAATGCCAAAAGTATAATAGAAGAAGGTCTTAAAAATAAAATGATCTAGGGCCTCCTCAGTGGTGCAGCGGCTGAGCACTGGGTTGCGAAGCTGCCCGCAGCCTCTGCAGCGTCAGTTTGATCCCCGGCCGCTGGGGGAGGGTCCCACATGGCTCGCAGAACTCTCCTGCTGCCCGCTGCTCCCTCAGCAGTGTGCTTTGTCAGTCTGCCTGTTCTGCTTCCTGCTCTGACTCTGGTGAATTCTCTCACCCTCCCGTGCTTCTGACTGTACCCAGTGCTTGTATAAATAAATAAATAAATCTTTAAAATAAAATAAAATGATCTACCACCCATCCATATTTTATAAATGAAGAACCCTAGACAAAGAGCAGAGAAGTGTCTTATAAAAGAAACTGCACAGCTACTTAATGGTAATGTTTGGACTAGAAGCATTATTAAAGGGAGACGCACTGGTTGAAACCAAACATCACTATTCCACTCAGACGACCTTTTAATTTATTAAAAATAAGGATAAAAATAAGAAAGCCAACATATTAATGGAATGATTTTTTTTTTTAAAAAAATATAAACTGCTTCTTAAATCCTAGTTGAGTATTCATAACTATGTTATGTCTGAAATGTCTGAAAATGTATAAATGGAAGTTCTCTTCTTTCTGGAACTGAATTCTGGTCAGGTCAGGATTCTACGAGGTAGATTTTTCCCACCATGAATCCTAAGGTGGTATTTGTATGCCAAGGAAAAAAGAACAATTAGCCAGACATCTCTTTTTTAACCCATATTTTTTATGTGCTGATGGTAACCATAGTCCATGTTCCTTTGAAATGTTAGTAATAACTGTGGTTTACAGCATTCTTGCTTCGTTCCAGGTGTAGGGAGACTGTTAGGCTCCTTGGAGCATAGGCTTTAGGGACAGACCTGAATATAAATACTAGG